TAAATGTATATATATATATATACGCATATATATACATACAAACATATATTCATACATACATCCTCACTCACTCATTCGCTCACACACACACACACGCATACATACATACATACATACATGCGTACATACTTATATGCATATATACATACATACCTTCATACATGTTTATTTGCATGCATATATACATACATACATTCATATATATACATTCATAGCTACATAAATGCACACACACTCTCTCTCACACTCACACATGCACACATACACAGACATACATACACATATACATACCTACATACATGCATGCACACATACATATATTCGATAACACGTATGGATATATATATTTATATTAGCTCGTCGTCGTGCCTCTCTGTATGGTCAGTCAAGTTAATAGCCGATATAACTAGAGGGTTCGTTGACATTTAAAGTGCGTGTTCTCAGGCAGCCGGCGACTTGATTGTACAATTGACATCATGGCTGCCCTTGTGCATTTTGATGGTTGTTTCCTTTTCTTGATACCGTCCTTATGAATAGACAAGCGATCAAGCCGAAATACTCGGCTCCGAAGAAATGTCGCCAAGGCGACGAATGAGCGCCGAGACTGCGCGAGTTTCAGGCCTGAAAGCTGAGGTGCAGCGTATTCCCATGCAACCTACCAGAGTGTCGCCAAGCACATCAAGTCTTCAAACTCCACCTAAGTACAAAAAACGTTCACCGAATATCAATCCGCCAACATCTAATTCTGCGGGAATATCGACCGTATCAACGCCTCCATCCTTGTCCTCGAAAGGCACATGGGGGAAGCGACGAAAATCCAAAAATATGCGAAATCATTACCCTTCACAAAATCTGTGTGCTATTGAGGTTTTACTTCTAGGAAAGAATAAGCTCCAAACAGGTAAACTTTTATAGTGCATTTCCGGGTTCCTGATTTACAGCTTTCATTATTATATCAGTTTGAAACGTAATTAGCATTCACCTGACGACATAGTTGCTAGAATTTAGCATAATTCACCGTCTCGGCCTGAGAGCCTATATCACAGTCAGATAGCTGACCATTTACTTGATTTACTAATTTTCAGACTGTCTACTGGATAGTATCAGCCAAATGAGCAGTTTGAAGGAGCTGCACCTATCCCACAACAACATCAACGAACTTGGACACTTGAGGAACCTTACTAGTTTGAGGCTGCTCAACATGAATTCCAACAGCTGCATGAATGTGCACAGCGACGTGGAGTATCTGTCCAATTTGAGGTCCCTATCTCTGTGCAACAATCGATTGAGTCTGCTTCCTCTTTCAATGTCAAAATTAAGTAAACTGGAGATGTTGGATTTGAGCAAAAATAATATAAGGTATTCTTTCTTTTGATATTCACTTTCAGCTGTTTACTTATAATCTCTCGAACGGGAATTCACAATTCATTTTTACATCAACTTGCTGTCATTTTTACATCAATTTGCTGTCACTTCTAAAATCTGCAGATATGCCGGAATTCACAGTTGGATGTGGACATCCAACCCCAGTGTTCGCGTTTTGAATTTGGCCCGCAATGTATGTTAATCGATGTCGATATGTTTTGCAAAAGATTCTACAGTAAAAATCGACTCTTTGATTTTAAGGGAGTGTATGACTGTATTTTTCCGCTGCGGCATGCACATTCGTTGTAGAGTTACTCTTACTATGTTGTTGGTGCTCTTACTACACAAGTACTGCAAGCGTATGAGAATTCGCGTGTTGTGCAAATAGCAGCTGATCACTCTTTGCTCGAAGTAACAAAGTCAAATCAATTTTTTAAATTTCCATCTGCATCAGAAATACTTGGGCATTACGAACTTAGCCGACATTGCCTCGCTCCCCAATCTTGAATTTATTTCATTAGCGGGAGTCATACTGCCGTGTCGATGCAAGGTGAGTAGTGATGCATTTCATTGATGGTAGCGTGTCTTTTTTGCTGCAAGTTCACATTCCGAAATTTGAGCGTGCTTGCTGATAATTCAACTTCATTGCAGACACAGCAAACATCGGCCGGTTTATTGGACTTGTATTCTAGGTCAGCCTCTGAGACCCAGGCTTGCTCGATCTGTTTTACTGCCTCCGTACCGGCGAATCTTATTGTAAGTTACAGCATGTATCGATCGTGGGGCGCCTAAAATTCATGATGCAGATAGGGTGGACCTGGCGTTTTTGCGTTTATCAACTGAAAGCGTTTGCATATGTGTGAAGTACACGGCAGAGGAATTTTTGACACAAAAACAGTGAGCTGTTAGCTTTCACTATGAAAACAGACTTTTTCTTTTTTCTTACTTATCCGCAGAAAACTATTTGTCTAGAACCGAAAGATTACCCGAAACCAGATACATTGATTAGGAAAGCAACTGCACGGAACTCGTTCCCGTCTTCAGCATACGCATCGCCTGAGGGTACATTTTCTGCAACCGCGATAACGGCGCTGACAGCGGAAGAAGCTACCGAGAAAGACATAGGTCTGCCTGTGCAATCCGGTATGTCTAGCCGAGCGCTACCGCAATATCGCCCGTCGTGTCTTGCCATTTTCTCTCTGCGGAGCTTCATTTTAAAATGTACTTTTTTACTTGCGGACGAATATTGCTCTCCACAGAACGAGTTGGAAGCCGAGTATCATAAAATTGTGTACTGTCTTTGACCATGCTTTGTTCGAAATTTTTCAGGTGTTGCACAGAGCAATATGAACGTGAAAACAATAGGTCAGTATTCGTTTACACTGAACGGGATAGACTTTTCAGAGCTAGAAACGGCGAAATCTACATTTACCATCGCCAAAACACACCGAGTATACGGCGTTTTCGATGCATACGGACCAACAAGTATGTTCCCAGATAATTTCATGTATTACGTATTCAGGATTTCAGACAGATGCTTCATTTACGTTTCAGTCATATTCCAATGACTTTTTTAAAACTTTAATTTCAGCTGTTTGCATGAGTCGTAAATTAAAGGCTGGGTTTGGAAGGCTTAACCAACACTCCAAACAACCAGCAACATATGTTATTCATTCATGCTTTCGCCGCTGTACTCACAGTGGCCGACAGTCACTCCAGTGACAATCAGAAGAACGTGTACCATCCAAATTCAGTCGCCAGCATAGCATACGAAAACTTCATGCCAACATTTTGGGAAGCTATCGGGAGAGCTTTTGATGGTATAGATATAAACAATAATATCACCCGTTCTTTACGGAGAGCCGTGCTTAGGGTCAACAGGGTAGTCGCTGAGCGTCTCCCAGAATCAAATCAATATGAGGGCTGTAGCATGGCTGTATTGTGTATGAGTCGATCGCGTGTCTGGGCTGCGAATTGTGGTACCACTCTTTCTGTAAGTCACTACCACCATACCCAAAAGCGCATATAAACAGTGAATTTGATACAGGAGCATAGTAGGTTAATTTTACGAGCAGCAAGTTCCATATTTTAAAAAGTTTTCGAGTCTGAAAATTTAGACGTATAATTTTGATTTAGAGGTGATTTTGGCCGCGAGCACCCATGTCTACAAAGCTACAACTCTAGTAGACATGGTGTGATGAGGTACATGTGTGTTTTTAGCATTCGGAAGGAGTATTTTTAACACATTTTTTTGTGGTATTACCTCAATACAATTTTTGGGGGTAATTCCGAATCACGAGGTAGTTTTTGTGCCAGTAAATGCTTATGTGTGCACATACAATTGTATCAGGTTCTTTGTCGAAACGGGCGAGCCATGCCATTGTCTGCTAAACACACGGCAAAGGATGAGGAGGAGCGGAAAAGGGTACTGCAGAGAGGTGCTGATGTTTCCGCGTGTGGAGAACTCTTCGGAATGACCGAAGCTACAAGGTAACTTGTGCTTGGCCGTATGTTTATAATTCATCCTTTGATCTGTGCGCAGTTACTAGCACATTTTACACCCACGAGTCGTTTACCTCGTAGGACTTTCGCAAAAACATTATGACCAGTTATATGCTTCTGTGAGCTCATGTTGAGTAGTGAATAGCCCGTTTATTGCGAGTTCTCTCACTTAATAGTTATCAGCCTTGCCGATGGAAAATTTATCGCGACTATTGAGGTCGTATAGTTCCACGACCATCAATCGAATTGGATATAACTGTGTTTAAAAAATCTTTTGATTTTTTTTCCTGCACGTAGGGGCCTGGGCATGTTTGCCCTACAGCCCTTTATGAACGCCGGTCCCCACGTGGTGGATCACCATATCTCTCATGATGATGAATTTATAATCACGGCATGCCATGGGTTGTGGTCTTGTATGTCGTTTCAATACGCTGTTGAGGTAGTGCGCCACGAATATTCACCGGAGCGTGCTGCACAGACTCTCAGAGTAAGCATCTACTGATTTGGAATGTTGTAATCATCCGGTTCTTTTTGTTAGAAGTCTCTCATATTTAGACGACAAATGTAGAACCCAAGGAGGAATGCTGAATATATTTTCAATATCTGTATTTGTTAGACGATAAGTGCAGAATAGTATGAGAATGTAAACATCTTCTCAATGAGGTTATACGCTCTGAAAGTTCTGTCCTTCTCTATCTACTTTCTTCGTCGACTGATATCCAAGGATCGAGCTACGATGCTCGGCGTTCAGCGACCGATTACGGTGGTAGTGACGTTCACGCCCAAAATTCGCCGTGCTGTGCGCAAAGAAGGTTTAACCACCAGTTTGATAACGCACCAGACGCAAGATCGATCAAACGCAGAAGTACCTCCACCTCACGGAAAAGTCACGCTTGTGTTCACTGATATTCAGGTATGTACGTTTTATACAATGTGCATTCCCGCTCGCAGGGGATATACGAGTTAAAGCGCGTACATACATGAACTGGAATATTTCGATACATTTCTATGGTTTTGTAATACTGAGATAGAACGACGTTGAGATTTGTGAATCTTGTGTCTCAATCAAAAATAAGCTTGGTCGGAGCCAGTCACTATAGCAAATACCAAAGTAGATCGGTTCGGTACTTGATCGGAATGGATAGCAGTTTTGACCTAAATAAGTATGTGCTAACTTACCCCGTTCATTTCTCGTGATATATTTTTACATATAACAATTTTACGTACGCGTGCATTCCTACAAAAAAAGAGAACAAAGTGCGTAAGTACCCCTACATATAATAAGAAAATACACAAAAAAAACCTTGAGTCAACTTGCATATGTTCAGTATGCAATATATATGACTAATGCCTTCCGCCGGGGTAGTCCAAGCTCCGAGTTATTCGCTATTTTCAGCTTTACGTTATAACTTCATTAATGCTGGATCATTGTGGTCCTGTTGCAGGATTCGACTGAATTATGGGAGGAAGAGGAGGAAGCGATGAGAGATGCTGTGCGAATTCACAACGAGTTGATGCGAAAACTTTTGCTTGAACACGGAGGATACGAAGTTAAAACTGAGGGTATGAAGGATACAAATAACTTGATTTTGAAGCCTTGACAATACCTAATTTTCGCTAAATCAACGCATATCTAAATGTGTTAAACAATGCAAAATTAACAATATTCCGCACTTGGTCCATCTCGTTTATATCTATTTGATGTTCTACGCACAAACCAATGGTTTGCTCAGTGCAGAGAAGCATAAATCTCTTGTTAGTGATGTGAAGTGTGTAGATCGTCCTATTAATGACATGTAATGTATTTAACACTCAACGCGTACCTTTTCAGGCGACGCCTTCATGGTAGCGTTCGAGACTTCACATGCTGCTCTAAAGTGGGCTTTGCATGCTCAGACTAGTTTAACGGAGACCGTTTGGTCTGAAGAGATACTCTCGCGTCGGAGCTGTCGCGAGGTGATGGTATGTTAGTAGTGAGTATGACCTTTCTAGGTATTATCGTTGAGGCTGGTTCACTGCTTTTCCGGATTCGATTGATACTCGCAACCCCTCCCCCTAAGTCTTGATACTTGAAAAACCTATATTATTCCCAGGCTGAAGGGCCGGACGGTAGTCAACAGACCGTGTTCCGAGGTCTGCGAGTGCGAATGGGTATCCATACCGGCTGTCCAGATTGTGAAGCTGATCCTATTACGGTATGTTGGCTATCTAAAATTTACTGTGGACTTGGCAATATATATATATATATATTATCTTTATATATATATATATATATTATATATACGTATATATATATATACACATATATATATATATATATATANATATTATCAATCTATCTATATGTATATATATTATCTATGTTATCTATCTATCTATCTACATTTATATGTATTTATGTATGTATGTCTGTAAGTATGTATGTATGCATGTATGTATGCATGCATGTATATATATATATATATATATAATAATATACATGTATAGTATATATATATAGTATATATGTATGTATGTATGTATATGATATATATATATATTTACTATACATATAAATATATATATATATATATATGCATACTCATACATGCATGCAAACATACATACATACATACATACATACATACATACATACATACATACATACATAAATACATATATACTTAATCATACATGCATACACGCATGCAAACATACATACATACATGAATGCATGAATGCATGCATATACACGCACATCTACATACATGCATATATATATAGATATAATATATATATGTATATATACATATATATATACATGTATATATATATATATATAATATATATACATATGTATTCATACATATATATATATATATTATATTTATATATATATATTATATACTGTTTTATGTTATATATATATATACATACATATACATAAGGTCGCTCTAAGATGTGTAGGCTTTTACGTTGAGATTTGAAGTCTTCTATTTTAGAAGAGTGGTTCAATCTCGCAGTGTGTATGAAATCCTACCAGCATCCCCCAGAATATGACTTGAAATTGTGCCTTGAACTCTAATTCGGTTTTCGCACTTACTATTTAGGGCCGAATGGATTATTTCGGACCGATGGTCAACCGCTCTGCCCGGGTCTCAGCGATCGGTCAGGGTGGTCAAATCGTGGTATGTGGCCTTGAAAACTCTGGTTGTTACTCACGATTATTTTGTGAATTTGAATGATCAAAATCTGACTTTTGGTCGCTCCAAATGTCCATTCCATTTGCTAATTCTTTTTCAGCTGATATGTTGATTCAATACTTAAGTTTTTGTTTTCAATGTCCGAATTAATTGTAGCGATGGTATTTGTGGATTTACCAATAAACGATCGATGCAAAAATTTGGCGGAAGTGTTCCTTAACTGCACACCCACTTCATTATACCACTGCAGATAAGCAAGCATGTATGGGAAGAGGTGGAATCGTCGCTGGGCCCAGACACCGAAGTGTCAGTATTAGGATCATATAACCTGAAGGGTATGAAACAGAAGGAGACTATACGACAGGTGAGTCACTAATGTTTGCACCCCACAGTAAGGCCAATACGATTTGCTCAGATTTTATGAGAAAAAGCAACGAGTTCTTGATCGGCCTACAAAACCAACACTATTGAAGTAGACAGATAATTCATTCATCACTCTCCTTGCCACGTTTCAGATTTTGCCCAAGACATTGCATTGTCGGCTGGAATTCTTCAAGAAGATCTGTGCACCTCCACCCCCTCCTATCAAAGTTCAGTCTCCAATTTCGACGCAAAGAGAGCAAGCCATTGCACACAAATCCATGTCTTCACCGCTTCATCAAAGTCGAGAGAAAGCAAACATGAAAAGAAACGATCTTGCACCAGCCACGAAACCAATTATTTAGAAGTATAGAGTCAGCACTCACAAGCGACGAACCGATCGCAGTGTACAGCTTTTAGTACTGCCGGTCGGAAGAGAGTCTTATCGGGCGCTGATGCAAATTAATACCATATTACTCATCAGGATATAAGTATATCGAAAATGACTGTTAATGTACCCGAATTCGACTACATTTCCGTCATCAGCTTCTTTAAGCAACTTCTTTAAGCGATTTGCAAAAAAAAATGTAGATTGTGGGCACCCGCAAGACATCAAGGACTTCACAACTGACGATACCTAAATATTACTCCGGTGAGATTGAATGGGCTGAAATTTTCGAAATTTTTCATGGCAAACTAATGGATGCTAATTTTTGCTGCTGGGCTGCAATAAGAATAGCAATTGGAGTTGCACTGGAAATTGCAGGTGTTAGATCACAAAACGAAATCGTGAGTCACACTTTCGAATTTCAACTTATCTATCAGGGGTATTGGTGATGTACTAGAATAAATATGACACTGTTTCCTGGAAATTATCACATTACATAAGGCGAGTTGAAAAGTGAGGGTTGCCTCCATCATATATATGTTATTTTTATTTGTTTCATCTATCTTTTGGGAGAGTACACTGAAATTGATGCGATCCCTTGAAAGAGTATAGGTTATTGCTCTGTTTACAAAATAAGTCTGGATCAAGCAATTTGGACGCAATTTTTCTTTCTGAATGAAGTTATAGCTCTCCATCAATGCGCTACATCAATGCCCGGAAAGTCTTTTTCTGACTGTGTATCGGTTTTGCTCGTGTAAATTTCCGTTATATTTGATATGGGAAAACTACGTACTTGACTTCTCAAATATGAAGTCTGCGAATGTTGGGTGAGAAATAACCCAAAAAGTTTTGTGTACTCAGCCGTGGTGTCTCCTTGTTGGGCATGGTCGCCGAGTAAAGTTTTGCTCACTGGCTGACGCGTGCGTATGTTTCGGCGTAGGGTGTGATAGAAATCGCTCAACAAATTTCGTTCACTGTATATTATTGCAATTAACTAGGCTGTATTTTTCAATATCAGTCTTTCCTCGAAGTTGAGTGTGAAACCAGCTTCCGAGAAGGCTTTGCAGGTATAGAACTCGGAAAGGTCTTGCACATTGAGCTTGCGAGCCTAAATAAAAGGACAGAAATATACTGAATCAGGATGTGATTATGTTGAGGCAATTGATATTTTTGAAAAGGGGGGTTTTTTTGGAACGAAAGAGAGCCACGCTTTGACAGAGCTCTGCACTTGAACGATGTAAGGGGCCACACCTGAACTTCGAAGTCCTCTATGTCGATCTCGACAACAGTTGGCATTTCTCCCCTTCGTGCAAAAACATAATTTGCCTGCTCCCTCCAAACATCGTTAAGGGTGTGAATGAGTAGATCGTTGTAATCCCTCTTAAATGTTAAGTATTTCGTCAATGACCGGCGCAGTGGCTCGACGACGCTATGCTTCTGCGTGGAGATAAAAGAGTCCAACATACACCGAATTGCCAAATTGACATCTGATTGTGTATAAAGTGTGCAAACAGTGGAAGAACAATTAGTGCTGGGATGATATAGAGCTTAAAGCCAATATCACAGCTGGTACGGTAGACGTACATAAGGATGATCGATCCAAGGAAGCAGAAGCAAAATAAATCAACCCCACCTTCTTCATGCACATATTCTCGTAAGTGCATCCTGGCATGTGCTTCAGACATTCGCAGCATTGATTCAAGGTGTCTGACGGTGATAGGAATGCTATTGTGAATCATAGCTTCTCTTCTCAGTTCTGCGTAAACGCTGGTTATTTTATCAACGTCAACGTTTTGCAGCTTCGGTCTAACGTTTGCTTTTGCGTAACGTACGTATTTTTTTAGGAGGTCCTGTTGCATATTGATCGCGAATGTATTGTATTAGAACACACATAATGTCATACATCCAATACCGCAATTCGATATATCGACATAGTGCACGAATAAACGAGACGAAATGAATAAAACTTTCGAAATCGTTAAATACCGTGAGTGATGCAGTTAGATTAAGCTCATGCGCAGGGGGAGGCATCAATCTGCTAAACGACAGTATAGGTATAATCTCTCACCTGCGGCACTTTGTCTTCGTTGATTTCATTTTCAGTCTTATCCTTAGCCAATTCTTCCATTTGACTTCTGTTGGCGGGGTGATTTATCACGTGACTCCGCGTGACAAATTTTGCTAGGCGAATGTCGTTTTCCCTTTCGATTTTATCCACGACGACACACAGGATGTCGAATCTGCAATAACACAGAGCAAAGTGATCTAATCTCAGTACACGCCTTAGTCCGAATCTTTAAGAAGAGCTCTATGCAGAAAAGTACAGTGCACACTTAGACAATAGCAACCCTTACCGAGACAAGATAGGCTCTGTTAGATCAACATTCTGGCTGAAGGTTCGAGTCTGATCGTACGTGCTTGTGCGCGGGTTTGCAGCAGCTACCACACTACAGCGTGCTTGCAGCTGAGTTACTATTCCAGCCTTCGATATGGAGATGCTGTTGATATTAAGTATGATATGATTGACTCGGATGAGTCTTTTTTCCTGATGCGATATCATCGAATGCTAAAATCGCCGGAGAAAGCAGTTCTGAAATAAGGCATACAATTAGCCGGTTCAAAGCCTTTATTTTTTCTCTCAAGAGACGAGCTTACCTTTGTTGTTCCATAGCTTCGTGAATTGATGTTCTATCCTGATCATTCATCTTGTCGAACTCGTCAATCAAGCACATTCCTAAATTTGAAGATGGCAAGTTTGCTCAGGAAAAAACCAAAGTGCCGTGACATTTTGAAAGACCGTACGAAAACTGGTCTAAAATTTCCGACAGCGCGCTGGCGAAAAATTTGAGCACAAACCTTTATCAGCAAGTACCAGGGCACCGCCTTCCAGTGTCCATTCTCGAGTCACTGCATCCTTATGTACAGACGCCGTCAAACCGACTGCAGATGCACCTTGACCAGTTGTGTATACAACTCTTGGCGCCGTTTTTTCAATATATTTTAAAAATTGTGACTTTGCACATCCGGGATCCCCAAGGATAAGAATATTGATATCACCTCGAACCTATGTAAGCAGAATGTGTGGATTGCTTCTATATTGCTAGATAGAAAAGTCATGTAGCGATAGGGTCGGTCTGCCGGACAGTAGCCATGCTATCAGCAGTATTATTAAACATCGCTGCTTCAAACAACGCAAAGTACTTACCCTGTGCTTTTTATTGGGATTCTCCTTCGCCTCACCTCCGAACATAGCAAGAGCAAGCGCCGTTTTGATATCTTTATGGCCATAAATTGAAGGAGCAATACTGTTAAATATCTTCTCGGCAATCCTAGGATCCTTGGAAAGTTTCTTACACCTGGGTTACAAAAAATTTATGTTGATTCATCAGAATAAAGTATTTTTTCTTAAATTTTAACAATAGTTGTCTTCGAGTGAAGCATAGAAATATTTCGTATGCTGAATATCGACATCATTCATAAGAACGTATAATTACTTCTCTACATCATCGTCCGTCAATCCCTGCATCCCCAATTCTGCTTTGAGCACATGATTTGCTTCTATGACAGTTGTAAATACTGGGAAGCCATTTTTCCTGTTGGAATGCGCATCGTACTGCATAGCATGGTAAAAACGTAATAGAAGACAATTAGCGCGAATGATTTCGAACTACAGATTAACAATTTTCATAGCGACAAGTAAACTTCATGGAAAGGCAAAGCAAGGAAGCCCAATGTCCTTGCATTCGATCATAAAGGCAAACCCCTAAAACCCAATGTCCTTGCATTCGATCATAGAGGTACTAGTGCTTTGGTGACTAAATACATACAATCCCCTAATGTGATGTACAGCTGTAAATGCCACTATACATACGAACATACCTGGTTGCGATACACCCCAGTAATTGAAACCTCATCTCCTGGTTTGCACGAGTCAACTAAATCGTAGGTTAGAATCACAATTTTTCGGCGGGGTAATCGCCCAGGGGGAACAGATCCAGGCGATTCCTGAAATAGAGAATGCGGCCGTCAGAAACAAGCCAAAACGGATACAGACAGTACTTAAATGGTTGTCACGTGATACTAATAAAATCAATACAGCATAAGAGTGTAGTCATACTATATCGAATGAGTTTCATCCGTATCGCTGCCACACAAATCAATACCCAAGAAACATACCTGGAGTGTGATTCTTTGATAATTGCGGTATACCGTCTCCTCTGTATTGACTGGGAAAGGTCCCTTACTTTGACACTCCGGGCACGAACCAACTTTAAAGTCCTTCTTCGTCTCGAAATCCATTGTGTACGGTCCCAGAATTGATTTACATTTCGCGCAGTCAAACTTCACCATAGTCAACTGTGGTAGAATTCCTGTGCGTCTAGTGACCACTCCGGTTGTTTTGAGAAACGCGTTTAAGTGATTGTGGCGGAGATCTCTAATAGGTTCATCGACTGGTAGACCTCCAATTCGTACATGTATTCCCTCGTGGATTGATCCGTAATCCGGAAATCCACGCAAGACCTGCAAACACAAACAAAGATACTGAGTATGCGTAGTTCGAGCTTTCTATCTAGTTTCATTGCAGATGACAGCGAATTAGTCTATAGTTATATCGATCGACCTTACGGACCAAAATTTCTGAGCCTCCGCCCTGCCAGAAAGGCGAATAGTGTGGACAACAATAAAGAGAAAGACAGGTGAGATGTTCTGCAGCGCGAGTCAAAGTGCCGTGTGCGATAAATTTCTACTCATTTTGTCAGTTTTGGTTGTGACTTTACATACCACTTCTAAAGCAACAGAGTCGAAGATCTTAAGCATTTCCATGGGACAATCTGCCAAGTAGATGGCACAGATGGCAGTGTCGGGCCATAAGCAAATGTGTTTGTAATCTACCTCCAAGCTGGTTTTATTGTGTGTACACATGTGGTTGATCACCTCTTTATACACAGGGGGCCTGCCTTCCTTCTCTTTGTATTGATTAAGGAAAATTCTAAACAACCGAGATATTTCTTTCTGCACAGGATCGAGTGTTAGAAACTCGCGCAATGGTTTGCCACCTCGGTCCTCTAGATTGACGACTGCCTCTCTGTGGATGACAACGCCGATCGAACAGTTTGCATCATTTTGTAAAATTATCAAAGCAAATAATAAAACACTTTTTGAAATTTCTCAGCCTCGATGTTTAAAGTACAGTTCCTGCAATATACTAGGCGGGTCAAATGAAAAGTACGTCCTATCAATGGTTGATCAGAAGTGTGCACCGAGTCTTACCTTTCTTCATCCATATCCATTCCAAACTCATCCGCACCAAAATCTGCAACACGACGGCGACGGCGCCTCCTGCCTTCATCCTCGTCAGAGTCTATAATACGTATTCAAACCAAGGTGCCAGTAAGCAGACGAGAATCTATACTTTTCTACTTTTGCAAAGGAAAATGGTCGCCCAAAACGTTATGAACTGATTGATAAAAAAAATTCTGGTGGATTTCATCAAGGTATTATGTTCCGGCCCTGCGTATAGCGTGATCTGAGCATGGCAGCTTCTGGTCTACAGCAGCAAGTAGATAAGCGCCAAAGAGTGCAGTACAAACTCGTAGACTACCATATTCCACACAAATTTTTGAATTTCCTACCGTCGTCCAGAGCGGCAGGGCGTCGTCCCTGTCGATCACGCTTTCGCATCTCTTCTTCTAAACGACGACGTTCGCCAAGGGACATCTCCGATTGCTATAAGTTGAACGACGAGAAACTAGTCATCAATACATGGAAGCAATATAAAACTGCAGAATGTGGAAGTAAACAATGTACAACCATATACGAAACAGTTCAGCCTTAGGAAAAAGCCAGCCATACCATACACAAATAGATGAATACAGATCCGTATGCAAGTGGCGAACACTCAATCGCACACTCCTACACATATGAAAGGTTTTACGATCTCAAAGCGTATGAAACTGCATGTGCACCTTTATTTGTATAACTTGCGATTCGGGGCTTTGATACACTATATGCAAAAAATACAAAACTTGCTTGCCACAAACAAAAGGTTTCAGCTTGAACTACACCAGCGCAGATAGTAAAAACCAAACTTTGCAAAATACAGTACACTATATTATCCAAATATCATCCAATATGTATCGCTTATCAGTGTCCATGGCTGATATGCAATACACTTCGCTTCATTGCGAAATGTAGTTGATTCGACCTAAGTCATCATCAAAAACATGAGGCATTTTCGGCCATAACATAAGAGCATATTAACTAGATACAGATAAATATATACAATTTAGATATACATAGGAATACATGAATAGATGCATATATACACACAATCACACACATATATATATACAATCACACATATATATACACACATACACACACACAGTATATATATATATATATATATATATATATATATATGNAAATATATAAATATATTTTCATACTTAATACACACTGGATACCGAAATAGTATGCGGTACATTGGAAAGCATTTACAATCCCAAAATGGGGGCCTTTACAGTTAGTGGCTTGTAATATATATATATATAAATAACAAGTACTCCTTCATCAACGTAGATACCACATTCTGCATGCTGTAAAACCCAGAGATATCATCTTCTAGAAATATAACTACGTACACGCATCTGTCTGTTACCCCATATATTCAAAAAGTCACACGGGGGACAGTGTAAACAATGAGTCAGGTAATACTCCGCATATATACACAGACAATCATATATATATATATATATATAAATATGCATTTATACATGTATATATTTGCATACTCAATACACACTGGATACCGAAGTAGTATGCGATACATTGGGAACGTATTTCCAATCCTGGAAATCGAGGCCTTGATAGTATGGGACTTGAAAAATTTATATACAATTTATATATATATGCAACTCTCCAACCACGTGTACTCATTCATCAACTTAGGTACCATATTCTGCACGCTGTAACGTACTACAAATGCAATCATATGAATGTTATTTTAAAGCAGGGATATCATCTACTAGAAAACATGTCTACGTTCACGGAGTTATTTGTGCATATCTACCCCACCTGGACAAAAATTCACACGGGGGAGTGCAAAGATTAGTCAGATATTACTCCTTGTAAATACAAATACACAGTGCATATAGCGCAAGAACTCACCTCATCGTCGTCAATCATCTCTCTGTCGTACTGATCATTTTCACGACTTTCCCGGTAGTCCCTGTATGTGAAGACAGTGATGATGTAAATCAAAGGAATACCTCAAACTCAGTCAAAGTCTACCAGTATGGCAAACATAGGTGACCCGCCTCCCTTACATGCATGATTGCTCAAAGATACCACTGAGATGACAATCATGCCTTACTGTATGCGTCGATCTGCGCAAATAAGCCACTGGGTATCACCTCTGAAAATACACGCGAGTATATCACAAGTATAATTATACATTGTCGCGCCGCTTTTAAGAGCGGGTGAGGATTCCCACACATATCAAATTCAACTGGGAACTTGCACTCGATGAACAACGAGCGGTTACAGGCAAAATGCTACCACAGGTATGACGTGCACAAGAATTGGAGCAACAGAACTATCACACAGTGAACAATACCAAAGCAGTGCATCATCGATTTCGGGCGTGGAGAATATCGTAACACCACTGTCTGAATAATGTGACGCAGCTATCAGACAATAGTTCATGAAACACCACTAACGAAATACTCACTACCCCATCAAAGCTGTCAACGATGCATACTTGCACTAGCCTGATTGTTTAATTGTCAAAACCCCTGCCCCTACCAAAATAGTTCGTTCCCGATTTACACAACAGGCACACACAATGTCACACACTAGCACATAAACCAGCCATAACCTATCCCGTCAAAGTCCTGGTACACTCTCATAACCAGCTCATCAATTCTTCACTGGATACTTTCTAATACGCTCACACAATAACAATAGTACAACTCTTGTTCATACACACACAAAACGACCAGGGCACAACAATCTTCTACCATCTTACCCCAGTCACCTACCGCATCATATCGTCGTTGATGAGATTCTCACCCTCGCCTTCATCAGACACCTGGACATTCTCCTCCTCTTCCATCTCCTCCATGAAATTCTCGGCCTCGTCAGCGTACTGTCCCTCGTGTTCGTCGCTTGTAAACCCTCCATCAATGCCTGAGCTAGGAATGTCAGGCAATGAGCCATTGTGGGGAGACGGCATGGGGCTGATTGGGGGACTCTCGTCCGGCTCAATAGGATTGCTCATATTGGCGGTATTGCAGTTGTCGCTTATTTATTTGATTATGATATGTTGTAATGTGACGTTGCGACACCTCTGGTTCTCACAAGGTAATATTGTGTTTTTGCTCGACTGAAATGAATACGACTAATATTGGGGAGAAGTGCAATGTTGCTGTAATGCACAAAACAAGCCAGCCACGTAGACCAAGTATGGCAGTATATGATTGATAAGATTTGTAGTTTTAGCTTACTGCGCCTCCAAGTGTTCAGCAGAATCGAATAAAATAGAAAGACTAGCAACTGTACAAAGTGCAGACAGAATAGACCTCTTGCATTGATTTTAGGGTTGTATCAAAGAAAAATTGTTAACTCGTCTAACTGCAATATTCCATCTGACCAGTTGGGCGCGCAGTATGTTTTGCATTTGTATGGAGTGTAGATATTTACTATGTATGTATCTGTATTTCTTTTTAGCGGCAAGGTCATCGTGAAAATAAAAGAAGCGGGATATGCATCCAATGAAAGTATTGCTACAGAATACAGAAATGTTTCTTTTTTATAATAAAATATAATTGTCGAGAGCATACATAAGTAAATAGCCTGTAGGTAGGCATTATGCATATAAATATATATATCTATCTATC